TCCGAATCATAGTAGTGTGCGGTTGGTTTCCGTCCAAATCAACAGCAATAACACCACCATTTTTCTCAGTACTTGGTCTTCCTATGTACCTATCCACCATTGCAATCACCTTTCTTATGAAGGGATATCTTTGTGCCAGCTTCCAAACACTTGTATCCTACCAAAGTCGTTTCAATAAAGAATATGTTATATATACTCTTAAAATATTTCTCTATAAGTTATTGCATCCAATATTATATATTCTAATAAAAGTTGTTAAATCGTTCGCGTTGTACTATATATTACCGTGGTTAAGGCAATCCAATATTGACCTTCACCATCATATCTTATGTTATCTGGTAATCCAGGTAAATTTTCAACGAATATATCCACAGAACCTTTGCTTGGACCTTGTATGTAGTACTTTTTGCACCTCATCCTGCATTTCATCATTTAACAAAGATACACAAATAGAAAATATTGTCCAAAATTTAAAAAAAGAAAGAAAAAGACTCACATGGCGGTTTCACAAAAAATAACAAAACTTTGGTCAGCAGAGAGAGCAACACCATTTGCAAAGTAAAGATCTTTAACCAAGACTTGTGTTTGTTTAGTTGATGGATCATAGCTCAAGAATCGGCCGTTGGGTCTACCTTCTAGAAAGTCCTCAAAGTGATTTTTAAAGTTGTGTTTGTAAGAAGCATCCGTGAAGTAGAGTGTGCCGTCAGGACCAATATCGACGGCATCAGTTAGCTTGAATTTCAGACCATCTGCCTCATCTGTCAGCAATTCTATTACACCATCCCTACTTATGTTTAATAGACCCTGACACAAAAAGTTACTCCCTCAACAATTGGATTGTTTGTGACTAAAAACTAATCAAATGCCAGTACAAATTTCGATTTTTGTTTAGATATCCACGGGAATATTAGTTTAGATAGGCTTCTATGTAATTATATTGTTCCGAAAAAAAGGGTGTAGCTAAAAATAATTGTACAAATATATGAACTCTCACATTTTAAACACCATACTTTTAAACATAGCTTAGTCATTTATTATTAGATTAACTAGCATTGGATATTTATAGAATTAATATCTTACAATACATAATTAAATTCTAAAATTTCAAGAAAATAAGAAATGGATGAAATAACTAAAATATAATATACTTTGATACGATCACATAAAAGCATAAAATACCCAAGACTTCTAATTTATGTAGCTAGGTTCGGTAAATTAATTATTATGACTCTCTATTGATGATAAGTTTTTAAAAAGTCAAAATAAAAATATTAACTACTTGTTTTGAAACTAGCTAGTTCATATTTTATTAGATTTTACTTAATCATAAAGTTGGGAATATCTAAAAATTACTATCATAAATGTAAAAAAAAACGATCTATAATTAAAAACATATCAAGTTAATTATATATTCTTTTTAAAATAAGTAACAATATTTAAAACTTTAGTGAATAACATATCTAAGGACAATTTATTTTCTGTAAATAAAGAAACAGTAAATATGAAAAATAATACATTCTTTTTAGCCATGCAAATAAGACAAGTTTAAAAACCTTATTTTATGTTTATTGATATTCAATTTTTAGAGGTATAAATCAACTCTCATTAGAAGAATTGATACCTAACCTCTATTAGAGAATAGATGTAACGGGAAGTTTGGTTATGTTTCCAATAGGAATTTCTAATTTTCAAAATTTTTGATGGAAAAAGTAGATTATTGGTTTTTATGTAGAAAATGGGAATATGTTTGGGTGAAAGGGTATTTTTAGTGTTATTTAGGGTAGAAATGAGAATATGTTTGGTTGTGGTGAATTTTCTCTACGAAAGTAAGTGCAAAAGTAGAATATAATGATTGAGGATGATGATAGTGATTATTATTATTATTATTATTATTATTATTATTATTATTATTATTATTATTATTATTATTATTATTATTATTATTATTATTATTATTATTATTGAGATGGGAGAAAAAATGGAGGAGAGAGAAATAGGTTAGTAGTTATTATTATAGGTTTAAAAAGTGGGAAAAATATGAATAGTGTATTTCTATTGGAAAAATTATTAAGAAAAATAGGAATTTCCAATTGAAAATTGTCAAACAAACATAATTCCAATTTTATGTATAGTATAAAACTGGAAATTGAATTTAAAAATAGAAACAAACATACCTTAGGGTTCGAATCTTGCCCCGTCTCATATTCCACCAATTTATAATAGGATTTGAATTTCTCAAAAGAAAAAAAAAATCTTAGACGTATAAAATGTTTTTCTGTTAAAGTTTAATATAACTAAAATTTTAATTTAAAATAATATATTATTGAGTCATAAAAAAAAAAAACAACTTAATTAACTTTTTTTAATTAAAAAATCAATACAATTTATATATTCAAAAGAAGAAAAAGGCGATAATACCCTATTTGTAATTCAAATATATTTTGAAATTGACTTCCATAAAAATGCATCACTTGAGTGGATAAACCATAAATCAGCTAAAATATGACCAAACACAAATTAAAATTTAAGAAGTAAAAGAGTAGAGTAGAGAGTAGGTGGATAAGTATAGATTTAAAAAATACCGACCTTATCAGCATCTGCAACAATGACTTCACCGTGGATCCCATGGACTATTCCCAGCGGCCTGCCGCCAGTGTTGACCCATTCCTCCACCACAAAGTCGGCGGCGGCGGCGGCGGAGCCCTTGAGAGATACACGGCGGAGCCAGCCATCTACACAGCCGGTGTATATAACGCCTGTCTTGGGGTCATAAGCAATATCCTCCGGCGCCGGCAACTCACCGAACCCGATCTTCTCTGAACCCAAGAGCATCTGGCTATTTCTCTTCGGGATGAACAAGGGTTCTCCATTTCGGGTCAATTCGTGATCCGGATACGGAGCCGGGTCGAATGGGTCTATTTGGTAAAGAAGCACTGCGGCTACAACGGGTAATCTCGATATTAAAATGGCGATATTTGCCATGAGTGATAATATAGATATTTCAGTAATTGATGGAAAGTTGTTGTAGTTGTTGGCCGTATTTATAGAAATTGATAAGATAGAAAGATCTTATCAAAATTAGTAAATTTCCAAAACAATAAATACTTATGTTTTCAAACATAAACAATAATATTTCCACTTCTAAATTTATTAAGATAAAAGTGATGAGTTATTTATGTATTTTTATTAAAGAAGGAAACCCTTCAACATAACTGAATGCACGTGATTGAATAAAGAAGCAATAATAGTCTTGACTAGAAAAGTCAACTTATTGATCGAGATTTTTTTTTTTTTTTTTTCTTTTTTGTCGTGTAATTGAATGGGATTTGAATATTCTAACCGGCGATTTAGTTGGTGGAGTAAAAAAGAAAATGATATCTAAGATCGGTAATTGAGTTGGGCCTTACCGAAATTCGATAACGCAGTCCTATTATATTTGAGTTGAGCCTACTTTTTAGTGATTTCGGCCGAATTTGAGACATTTTATTAAATCCGATTTATTTATGAGCCGAGTTTCAGCCTACTAAGGCTCGACCCGATTAAAGCTCGACCGCTTAGGTTATTAATAATAAATATATAATATACTTATTATTTTAATGTTGGGCTCAACATACAAGTTACAACTGTATAAGATTATTTTGTTTTGCAAATAAATAAGTCAAAATAAAAGGAACTAGATGGCTCAACCCGAATAAGGTCCCACCGAAATCTAATTACCGAAATTCATCACCGAGATTTGAGAATATAAAACGTTTCCAATAATAAGAATTTCTATTTTTTTTTTTTTACTTCTTTTAGTCTTATTTTTAAGTTTTTTCAATAACTGAAAGTATTCAATGCATTCGAATTCGTGTAATTTAAATACAACTTGTATAAAATTAGAGATCGTTAAACGAGATAAACAAAAACTTGTACTGAGAAAGATTAAGTAGCAGAATATAAATAACACAAGTTTTAGATCATTCTCCACAAGTATATAACTTGTGGATGGTGCCTTCACATGCTAAAAATAGTATTCAAAAGAATACAAATGAGAAGCTAAGATATTCTCTTCTAAGAAGAAATCACGAGTTGATTTTTTCGTAAATCAATTCCTAGTATCTAGAACAATATTTCTTAGAAGTACACTAGGAATACAAACCAGTATTCAATGAGATTGAATACACAACAGACTCAATATTGTAATGAGAAATTTATAAATTAAAAAAAAAAAAAAAAAAAACAAGGTGTTGTAAAAGATGGTCCAACGCTCGCAACTTTGCGCTCTTAATTCTCTTCAGAAATGGTGAGAAATGAACTTGGATCTTCTCCTATTTATAGAGTTTAGGAGCATCATGTCTTGCACGAAATTAACATACTAGGAAAGATAGTGAGTTAGTGGAATAATTAAACATATGATAAAAAAAAACATTTATCCATTAAGCTCAAAATAACTACACACTAACTGTAAATAATAAATCCTATAATAAAAATTTCGGAAATACTGAAAATTGATTTAAGAAAAAAACAATTAAATTATATTTTATTCAAAAATCAAATATTTCAACAATAACTTGCAAAGATCGTTTACGGTTATTTTGGATTGGCTTCAATGGAGGTAAATCTTTTTATTACTTGTTTCTATAATATTTTTTACTCATTACAGTTATATAGTACCGGGGCCCGATATAAACCCGAAACCCGAAAAAATACATTGAGTTTGAGCCTATAGTAACGAGCCCCAATGGTATGTGAGCTTGAGCCGACCCAAGCTCAGCTCACATGGCCTGATTGCCAGCCCTAGTGATATTTAATAACTTGAGTTCGATTCACTTGTCCCATACGATTTATACTTCTTAAATGATTTACGGACTATTATACAAGGACGAAATTTATTAAGTTGACATACATGGTTGCAGTGTCTTCATAAGAAACATAAAATAAAATATACCAACTTTCTTCTAAATTAAATGGGCTCAAGTTCATCTTGGTCCAAAATTTTCACAATATCTGCATAACTTATGTACATATCTCAACAAATGTATACCACCTAATATATTTTATATTAATTTAATTATAACTCAAGAACATATATTCTGACAAAAATAGATTTGATTGTATAAATTTATATAGATATGTGCAAAATGACAAATTGGACCTCAACACTATCTGCATT